ACACTGTCACTTTACCTTGTAATTTTGTCTTTTTATTTTTGCTTCTTATTTTAGTTTTATATACCTCCTATTATTTATATTTTACTTTCTCTCCTTATCTGTACTTTCATCTTGTACAACTGAATATCCCTTCTGGTGATCAATAAACAACCTTATAATATAAACCACAGAACTAATGACCAGGGCTATGATGCCCAACTTGTATTTTCCTTTCCTCTTTGATTCAAAGATTTAACCATTCTGCAACAAGAGCCTGAGGAAGATGACTGCTATATAATATGCAACAAAATGATTTAACAAATTGACATTACAGTATTGTTACATAGGAAAGGAGTGAAAACTATTTTACAATTCTGCAAAAACCCTGACATGACTTTCTCTTCTGTTATTCACTAGGCGTCACGCTGTCCAACTATCCTGATGTAGACCAGAGTTTAGATCCATCTCAGAAAATCTGGCCTGACCTGAGCCAAAAAAAATTCTGTGCAAGCCCCAACCTAGCCCAAACCACGAAACCAGTTTTGGGGGCAGAGCCCGACCCAAACCCAAATTTCCTCGTACAATAATAATAATAATTTGAATAGTTTATTCATAGTTTTACAAGGTAAAGTAAACTACATTGTGCATATAATATAGTAAAAAGTATTATCAAAAGAAATAAATGACAAATTTACTCATTACTCATCAATTAACATGAATATTTAAGCCCGATCCGAGCCCGACCTATGGCAGCAGTTTTGGGCCCAATGGGGTTTGGGGCAGAGTATCGAAACGCTAACGTAGACAGACTATAGAGAGAATAGGTAAAGAGAGGAAAACGAACCAACACTAGAAGTACAGTTCGACCCCCGCAGAGGTAGCTATGTTTTTGGCAGAAAAGGATTTCTTCATGACAGTAGTGTGTGGAAAAACAATACAGGAGATGTGACTAGAATGGAGGGGGAGAGAGCCTGGAGTGAAAAAAATAGATGTTTGCTTTATCCATCAGGAATCACACCGGGCCACGATTCACCACAAACAGTCCAGTAAGGCCCAATAAAACACTGAACGCCTTTCTAACATACTGCCTGAGAAAACTCACAGGCCTTAGTCTCCCTCTCACACATACGCATACACACACACACACACACACAACACAAACCACCATCCCCCCTCACGTTTGTGGGTAATGGATTTTTATCAGGGCAACAGTATCAGGGCTGATTTTGACGAGTCCCTAGGCTGCTCTACAATTCCTTTTGAAATCCCTTTCTTTAGTAGTCTTGTTCAAGTAGCCTGAGGCCATGGCCCTCCGAGATCACAATGTTATTAATACAAACATGTCAAACCGCATGCTGAAATTCAAAACAGAGGTGCCAAAATGTCAAGGTGTCAAACTCCTGAAATATAAATTATGCTTTAATATTCCTAAGCACTACACAAAATATGCTTCAGTGCATAAAAAGCATGATGCGCACAAGTGTTTAATATTTCAGTGTAATGTCACCAATTGCAACAGTGCCCCCCACTCCCGGGGATTCGCTGACGGCCGCGGCCCTGGCTGTGATGTGAAATTTTGAGAACCCTGCAGGATTAATGACTGGACTTGGTATGCCACCCTGCCATCCCCCACGCTGCTCTAGCATGTTATCCCCCTGTAGAAAACTCAAGGACATCTGCTGAGAGAACAAAACTGTAGCTAATTATCATCTAATGTCCCTCTATTTTTTATTTGGCACTGTACATGCTTGCTACTGTTTGGAAATTGGATTATGTGATCTAAAACGACAGACGACTGAGTCTATTTAGAAAGTGAAGCCATCTCTTGAATGTTGCTGCAAGTATGAATAGTACATTTTACTGCTCTAGCTTTTGGTCAGTTTAACTGTGGGATAGGGCCGGTCAGTATGCCAAAAATGTACAAAAACAGACATAATGTCACATGTACAGCCTCAAGTACAAACTGTCAGTGCTTATGTGCTTTTGTCATGGGTCAAGTTAAGACCTTAATTAACCGTGGCATAACCGACAGGCATGTAGGAAAATGAAATACCTAGATAACCCCCCAAAATAGTTGAATTTACACTGTTAGCACTGAGGTTATTTTAAAAATATTTTTTCTCAAATATTGATGTTTGAAGTGTTTGCAATTTGGCTCCCTCTCTATTTGGTTATTGCATCCTGCAGCTCTATTATACAGATGTTGGTGCATATTGAATAGTGAATTTAATGGCTGAATAAGGTCCATGACGGAAATATTATATATTTAATAAACTCAGTGCAGACAGGGGCCTCAAACTGAAAAGAGTACTCAAAGTCAAAACCTGGTGCCTGCATTACCCACAATTCAACTTAACTGCCGACAGTTAGGTGGGAGATTGCGGTGTGTTATTATAGTATCAGAGCTGATACTTGGTGTGAACTACAGGGGAGCCAGTAATTAAGTAAGCCTTAATAAGACATGACCTCCCCTGAAAACATGGTTTGTGAAATTTTGGGGCTCTCTAAAATGCTGACAGTTTTTCTTATCACCATGGAAAATTAAGCTATTATTGATCTAAGTATCAATAATAAAAAGTGATCATATAATATTAGACCAAACTAAAATGATTTGTGTTGATGCATATGAATCAGTTTCAGCTGCCTGGTTTATTACAAACCCCTGCTTGAGCCTCTGTAGTGATTTAACTACTGTTTACAGTTACTGTTAACATAATTGGTGATAAATCTAGTTACTAGCAAATAGTTAGAAACTAATGACAAGCATATTTTATTTCCAATACTGTAGTTGGACAGACTCCTTGCTAGTTTTTTTGCTTTAAATAATTTACTGGCATCTAGTGGTATAGTTGCAGGTTACAACTCCCTCACTTCACCTGGAAGTTAGCGCTGCCCTGGTTCCTTTGACAAAAAGCCATTGGGATTTTTCCATTGGATTTTGGATTATTGCAGAAAATAATCTCTGTGGTGAACAAAGGTTTACGATATTTACATGTTTTGTTCAGCAAGATAATCTTCAAAACCCCTTTTTTTTTTTAGGATTTTTGAAACATAAATGCGATCGCAAGAAGTAAAAATCGAACGTTCGGCTATAAACAAATAACACCACAGTTGCATGACTGCAACGTTACCACCACTATCTTCTAATATGTGATTAGACCCTACTGAAACTGCTTGGATTATTATTCTTTTAGCAAATGAATCAAACTTATGTCGGCCACAACATGCTCTGATCCTCAGGAAATGCAGCACACATGTCGGTGGCAAAACATGTATAAGCTTCAGCATTTACAGGTTGGGTAACCACAGACCTTATTTCTGGCATGTAACCAAAAACGCAATCAAAAATCCAGTGACTTAGAGGCGAGGGAACCATAGGTGCTAACTCAGTTCCAGGTTTTAGGACTAGGGATGGGGATCGTTAATATTTATTGATTTGATACCTTTATCGATACTCCTTATCGATCGAGTCCTTTATCGGATACCACTATCGATAACTTTTCTATTAATTTGGTGGACAATACTATGCGACAATATGTTTTTAACAGAACTGGTACTTGCTTTTATTTGCTTAACAAGTGAGCATAACAAACTTTTCTAGCCCCATCAATAAACATGACTAATGTAATAGTATTATGTCATTTCGAAAGTGCCTAAAAATAAAAGAAATATATCAGCAGCACCAAATGAAAAATATCTAAATATTAAAATTTACTGAGCAACCTGAACACATTTTCATCACGCAGCACGTCGGAATTTATTTACTTTTCAAGCTAAACTAGCTTGTATGCTGCCGATTTACAACACGGATTTCACAATTACTATTTTTAAACCTGACGGGACAAGCTACAGAGTCTGTGTGCGCTGCCGCTGGTACTCTGAGTGGATGATGAAAGAACGGGCCGTCTGTGGTCTTTTAACCCGGAGACAGCGAAGGTAAACTTACTGCATTGGCCTTTATTTGATGCACAATGCTAAATGTGCTTGGGCCATTGAGGTGTGTTCCCCACTTTAACAAGAAATCATACAACACATTTCGATTCCTTTATATCTTATCTTGGTAAAATGAAGCCAAACTGTAAACCTTTTCGCCCGTTCAGCCATCCTCGCGAGCGAAGTTAACTGCCAGACTTCACTTGTTTTACTTTTAATACCTGTTTTGCTTGCAATTACAATTCATTCCAAAAATTGGTGGACACGCTGCAGTGATTGGATTGATTAGATTTAAATGCCGTTGATCGCGACTCGAGGACACACAATTACGTTACAAGACCTCCGGGAAGAAAAAAAAAAAACGATCCAGGACTCGATAGTTGTATCGATAAGCCCAAGATATTGTATGTGTCCTGAGATAACTTCTTTATGAATTGGCGCTATACAAATAAATTGAATTGAATTGAATCAAACGTTATTGATTTTCGGGTTTTGAAAAAAGTGGAACCGGGTCCTTGATAGAACCGGGTTTCGATCCCCATCCCTATTTAGGACTCATTTCCGCAGAACCTAATAGGTCACCTAATTTTCTTGCCCTGTTGGACCTTTAAGGTACGTTGAGACATTCCAAGGTCTCAGCCATCACTTTAGTGAGTATGTTGTTTTCATATCTGAGTTATAGTTTTCCTTTAATACGAGTGGAAGTGGGATGATAGAGAATCTTGTGTGCAGGCGTGTCCAAAGATATACTGTTTCAGCTAACATTACAGAGGTCAGTGTAACAATTAATTGTAACAGCCCACCCTGATAACAGATACTTTGTAATTGCCTTTCAATGCTACTGAATAGAGTGCGAAGTGGTCAAACTCTGAGCTGTGGTCTTATTCTACATCAACAGGACAACTAATGAGCTACTCTCCTGACATCTGTGCTTGATGCACATGAACACCTAATTGCTTTAATGACCTCCGAGCCTTGTTACAATATCAATATTCACAGCTTTGTTTTTTCTCTGGCTGGTAGCTACCAGTTGGCTTCTGCTGCACCAGTTTGCAACCAGTAAAACGCCTCTGCTGCACATGTCCTACCTCAGAAAGGTTCCTGTCACGTTCAATGACCATTAACGTCTGATGTGAAGGCATCTCGCATCTGTGACAGGAGAGGGTGGGAACCATCCGGAAAGGCAAAGTTACCTGATGTGTTTTGTCACCTCTTCCGGTTGCCTGAGCAGGCATTTGTGTTGGTGCGTTCGCTCCAGGGCCTGGGAGTGTCGGTCTGCATCTGCTGTGGCTGCTCTTCGCCTGCCAGCTCCTCTTCATGACATCTGAAAGTAGCCAGACCAGCGCTGGTTTACACATGAAATGCTCAGGCCACTCAGCCCTGTGAGAGCAAACTGTCAGTCAGCCAGTGCAGGACCTTGAAGCGCTGACCTGCTTGCTGAACTGAGCTGCGCAGCACACCTCTCCTGCACTGGGAGTGGGAGTGAGAGTATATCATATACAGTCTGTGTGTCTTTCATCCTTTCTCTCTCCGCGTTTGGGAATGCAGTTTTATTTCTCCTCGCAGTTTCTCGGGGAAGTGAGAAAAGAGGCTGCAGCAAGAGTTGTTACTGCAGTTGTTTGACTTAATCCTGATTTACCTTGCTGTAAGGAGACAGTTAACCCAAATTACAGACAAATATATATGTATATATACTCTTGCCTAGATCTATCCAGGCAAACATATTTTTTTCTCTCTCTCTCTCTCTCTCTCTCTCTCTCTCTACCTCCATCGCAGTACAATGGTTTGTTTGTGTTGCTCACAGCATTGAAAGACTTTTTAGTTCTGCAGCAGCATCTCCTTACAGACAAGGTGTACCCTTTAATCTGGATAATACACTGTGAACAGTTTTCATTAAACATGGCCAATGAATCAATTGAAGCTGCAGTATGTATTTTTTATAAAAATATCAGTGTTACATGAGACAGATAAACAGTGGAAAAAAACAGGTTCCTCTGGCTCCTCCTAGTGCTCCTAATGGCATTTGCAATCATCCACCGGGCCTGAATGAAAAGAACCAATCAGAGCTGAGTAAGATAGTTGATTTGTTGAGTCTCACTCCCAGGGTGTCAAATACAGACACTTTAGCAGTCAAGCCAGAGGAACCTGATTATTTTGCAGATTATCTGTCTCATGTACTACTGTCAGGATGTAGTGAAAATGAAAAAAAAAAATGACAAAAAGTTATTTTTATAAAAGTTACCTATCGCAGCTTTAATTCGAATTTACAGTTTAAAATTATGCAACTGTCAAATCGTAGATTTAAACTCGGAGTGTGAGAGAATGGGGTTATACAGCTGCTAAGTCACTCAAATACAAAGAACATGTAGAACCATTTTCCCATAGTATCCCATATGAGAAGAAGGGGCCTCAGTGATAAAACATTATAGATGAGGTGGTGTTTCAAAAGGCCAAAGATAGGGTGGCCACATGACCCAGCCCTATTTTTCATCGTAACGTCTTTTTACTAAAGTCCCAAAGTTAAACCAAAATCATCTGCATGGCTAGATGCCACTGTAAGTGAGAAAGCTTATGGGAGCTCTTTTCTATCACTGTGGAATTTGACTAAGTGACATATTTTATGGATATTCAGTGCATCAATAACAGTAGAGAACAATTAATCCAAACAGTGAACACAATAACTGCAGGAAGTTTGTGTAAAACCAGAGATTTG